TATGAGGATGGTGGCAAGTATTGTTCATGCTAAGGCATGTTTATCAGACATGAGATTCTAGGTGTGCTATTAAGTCTTAGCGAGGGGTCTTGATTTGATCATGTTTTAGGCTGAGGCAGCTTCATATAGAGCTTAACTATACTATCAAATAGTTTGAACGCCTCGCCCACAGCTGGCCAAAAAGGGGGAACGACTTTTTCCTTTGAGGTAGGAAAATCATGATCGAGATATCTGACTCAAAGCTATTGAACTTGGGTGTGAGTCTTTTGTCGAAATGGAATGACCTTATCGTTTTATTTTTTCTTTTTTGTTGGGGGGAGGGGGTTCAGAGTTTGAACGTATGGCGTGCAAGAAATGGTATTTTAGGAGTCCTAGTTCTAACTTGAGCACGACCTTTTGCGAATTGATGATGAAAGTCACTAAGAATGCCCATTGAAACAAAACACCTTATTTTCCCAACTCTATGATTCATTACCTACCCCATAAGCAAGATCTTGGCAATGGTGATCTTTCCTTTGCGGATGATCTGATATTCTTTCCATACTTAATTTAGGTTGCGGGCTGTAGTAGATAGCCAATTGCTTCAATATCCCCCAACTGTACTCAAAAGATTCACCATGAGAGAGTTCACAAGCTCAACAAGCAATCTTTACCGGAAGAAAAAGAGAGCAAAGAGCTTGTTTTTGCTTACAAACAATCCAAACTTAACCAAAACAGCTTGAGCTAAATATAAATATGCATGTATATAAGCTACTTTTTCAAGTTTCTAAACCAACAGAAATCTGAGAGTTCAAATTCTACGCGCTTAAAATGGCAGTTCATAACTTAACTTCCTTCCATAGGTGATAATATTGCCATATATACAGGAATTATAGCTGTGAGTAATCTCCAGCAGTTCGTATACTAGTTCGAGGCGATATGAACTGCAGCTACTGTCGACACCATGGAATCGACACCACAGATATTGCGACCCCTGCAGAGTTTGTAGTATCCATTCTCCCCCCATTTGGCTCCCCACGAGTTCTTAATGATCCAGTAAGGTTTTTCTTTCATTCGGATGGGAGCATAGGCAGCAGATCCATAACCAACCAATAGAACTCCATGATCTAAGTGCTTTGAGCAAATGTAAGGGCAAGAAACGCCTCCAATATATGTCTGCATGAATACAGCATTGATACCAACTGCATTCAAGAGAAATCGAGCAGTGAGCAACTATAAAGAAAAGAATAGGATTTAAGATATAGCATGGTTGAGCCTGTAATTACTTGCAAGAGGGCCATTTTTCACGAGATTGGCAGCAATTTGTTCTTCATCAAGGGAGATCACACTAAAGTTGGCTACTGATGCTGCAATTTTGGTCTTGTCAAATTTGCAGGCTCCACGATCTGTACCAGTGTATGGGTAGTCTTTCTCTTTCATTAGTCCACCGGCTTTCAATGTGTACTCGAATGCACTATTCATTAGCCCCCCACTGCAGCCAGCATCACAGGAACCTTGTTCTTCTGGATCACACTGGCAAACACCATAGAAGTGCATTAAATTGCATGAAAATAAATAGAAACACATCCCTTAATGAAGCTCCATAGTAGATAAGTGAACCAAATCATTCATCCCTTGAATTACTTCAAGCAACCTGTAAGGCTAAATCATGCACTTGAATCCTTTTGAATTTGCTAGTACATATGATTTATGAGCACAGCCAATACTAAACAGATGCAAATATTTACCAATTGTCTCCAAAAGTATGCAATAGAGATACTAAATCTAATAGAGAGCAACCAACCATCAACATAAACGGGAAACATAGATCATCAAGCGCAAGAACAGGTATTTTGCTGCCTAAAACAATGGAATCATGTGCAGATAGGTAGATTTGACACCTAATTCAGTATCATAAACGATCATAATCAAAACGTAAATTCTGAAACACAATATATTGCAAATCAAAGATGAATGGAAACTCAAATCCAAACCTCATGATCACAGTCAACAAGCTGTTGTTCGCTGAGGCTAACAAGTTTGCCGGAAGAAAGGAAGTTAGCGCCCTCAAGAGCACCGGTTGCACTGAAACTCCAGCATGATCCACACGAACCCTTATAAGAAAATAGAAACAAAATCAATCACAGCAATCAAAACCTCCGTTCAATAAATATTAGTCATCTTGGTTTTAAAAGAATTAATTGAAAGTCATCGTCAACATAAGGAATGTGATAACAGATACAGAGTACGAGTTGAAACTAAAAGAACTATTTATTATAAAGAACAAAAAATATAAAAGATACGGAAGAGAATCTGAAAGCATTAAATTCCATACTAAAATAAGACGAAGATGACTCTTAGCCCCAGATTAAAAAAAACAAATTATAGGAAAAATAAAGATAAACGTAAGACTAAATTAAAAAAGAAGAAAGAAAAGAACCAAACCTGATTCTTGACTTCCGTGACGGCTCCATGATCTCTCCAATCGAAATCAGTCGGAAGGCCATCAGTAGGAAGAATAGGGGCTTTGTTAGCATCCAAAGGGAGTCCAAGACGGCGACCTCTAAGCCCTAGAAACAACCTTCGGAATTCCGATGGTGTCAAATCAGAGAACTGAGTGACGCCATGAGTAGCAGATGGATCAAGAGCCTGGTGGCGCTGAGCTCGCCTCAGGTTGGCTTTGAAGATCCTGAACCGATGATCATGCTCCTCCATAGAGGCGTACGACTTCCCAAACTTCTGCTTGAAGACTGAAAAGTGGTGCTCAGCTCCGAGTAGCAGATCGTCGCCGTTACTTCCTCCTCCGTTGACTCCTCCATCGTCGACAACCTGACGGATTATGGAATCTCCATAACCATCGCCGGAGAAATGATCCCCGCCGATCGCCGATACGGCGAGGAGAGAGAGAGCAACGAAGAGAGAGAAACACTTAACCATTCTCCCGCTGAAAATTGAAGTTGAAAAAAATGGAGAAGAAGAAGAAGAAGAAACAAAAACTATGAATATGACCATCTGAACATGCCTTTTTATGCTGATGCTTCGTGGGGCGAGTTATATTATTGTGTAACTGATTCCATTGTAATCCCGCTTTAGGGTTTCGAATCCAACCGTTTCTTTTCAATATTGGCGGGTCCCACTGATTAATAAACGGTGTGGATGAAGGAATTTGTTTCTGATGTTGTATGGGATAACTGCCTCCCCTTATGTGTGTTTTGTTTTAGAACGTTAACCAATGAAGAGGTGCCACGTATAGGATTTTGATTCGTTACTAAAAGCTAATATTCACGTTTTTTTTTATTAGGTAACTTGATTTTGATCGCCATGGTCCTGCTTATCTAGGGCTTGGTCTCTCTCGGGTTCTTTTTTGGGCTTTTTAATTGGATCAAGGCCCAATAATAATAAATTCCTTATTGGGCTTTTTCTTTTATCCAGGCCCAATGTTCATTAGTTTTGGGTAGGGCTTTTAATGGGTTGGATCGAGTTTCAATATTCAACCCAAATAATGAATACATTTTAGGTAAAACACTTTGTAATTATCAAATTAAATAAAATTACAAATTTCTTTTTTTTTTATAAATTAACGAATTTCAATTTAACCGTTTTATTTATTTGAACTCAGTGTAAATCCAAAAAAATGAATAGAATTAAGTTGGTTCATTAAATTTTTCAAGTCGCCGAATCTTTTAAAGTATCTCTAATTTTGAAAAAAAAAAACGACATACATATATTAAGTTGATAGAGTGTAAAGTAGTTTGGTCGATTTAGAGGTGTTTGGTCCATGGTTTAGTCAATTCATGAGCTAGTCACCCAATGTTCTGTTGCCATTTAATTTGAAAATGTCTAGAATTGCCCTCTAAATTAAATTTTTCATTCTCGTTATTAAGTGCATTTTCATATCTATTAATGTGTTTTATTGGATCTTTAACCCTAAACCCTAACCTAAAACTAGAAATTTTGACGGATAAATATTTATGTTACAATTAAAATCTTAGCTAACCCATTTATGTTTTAATAAATATTAATGTGTAAATATATATATATATATATTATATATATATATATATATAATTAGTTAATTAAAAATGAAAGAAAGAAAAAACAATTACAGTCAAACCTGTCAACGCCATTTCATGAGAAAGGGTTGCGGTTGCTGGAACACACCGACGGAGCTCCGATGATGTCGATCCAGTGTACATATTATAAATAATTTGAGTATTGATCGGGCACGGTCTGGATGTAGCACCATTAGCCGTCCGGTCATCGGGGGGGGAATTGAGGAACCTAGCTGTTTGATCTTCGATGGCTGACTTGTAAAAAATGTTAACGACTATGGTGGAGCAAAGGACCGAGGCTTCTAGATCAACGAAAGAAGGAGAGGAAGCGAAACAGAAGAAAGCTGTGGTTTGGGAACCAATCATCGTCTCTTGCTCTATCGGAAGGCTGAAGCCGGGATTCGTGGTCGTAAAGTAAGGCTTGGTCTGTATATTCTTTCTGCATCTGGATGTTAGGGAGGCATTATTTAAGTAGATTTGGGAGGGCAATGCGTTCTCAGTTACATTTAGGGTTGCGCGGTTCTTGTTTCCCCTTCGTAGTCGCGATTGCTCATAATCCCTTTCACTTCATCGGGCTACCAAATATTGTCCTTTTAATATTGTCCTTTTTGGGCATGCTTCCCCTCCAGGCTTTAAAACGCGTCTGCTAGAGGAAAGTTTCCCCACCCTTATAAATGGTGGTTTAGGTTTCCACACCACACCCTTATAAATGATGGTTGGTTTAGGTTTCCACACCATCCAGGCTTTAAAACGCGTCTGCTAGAGGAAAGTTTCCCCACCCTTATAAATGGTGGTTTAGGTTTCCACACCACACCCTTATAAATGATGGTTGGTTTAGGTTTCCACACCACACCCTTGTAAATGGTGGTTTGTTCTCCTCCCCAACCAATGTCTGGCTCCTAGGAAACGTAAAGGTGTGGAAACTCTCCCTAGCATTTGCATTTTAAAAACCTTGAAGGGAAAGCTGAAAGAGGACAATACCGGCTAGCGGTGGGTTTCGGCGGTTACGAATGGTATCAGAGCTAGACACCAAGTAGTGTGTCAGCGAGACACTGAGTCCCAAGGGGGTGGACACCGGGCGGTGCATAGAGAGGACACTAGAGCTAGAAGGGGGTAGATTGTGAGATCCCACGTCGGTTGGAGAGCGAATCGAATATTGTTTACAAGTAGAAACCTCCCCAATAGATACATGTTTTCTTAAATGATAGAGACCCAAATTAACGAAAGCCAAAGGGACAATTCCAAAATAGCATTTAAACCTTTAAAACTCAAAGACTCTCATACAAATTTCATACTATACTAATCGTCTCTGTTTGTTTGTCAATATCCATTGATTTCTGTAATACATTCGGATTTTGTTATGAACTGAAGTTGCAGGAAATGAGGATTTGAATGTCTACTTCTACGACTACGAGTTCTATGATTCGACACGAGCTAAACATACTTGTGCGAACTAGCTACAGATTCTCTCTAAGGTAAAACCATTAGTTGACAGTTTGTTGTCGATTCACCGGCACGTATGTGCCTCTGCAGGGCCACTGGTTTCCGGTCACCGGGGTTGCCTGCAACCATGGGGAGAATCTGTTGGCTTCCTTGGATGTTTATGGGAGGGTAATTGTACGAGATCAAAGATGAGCTAGAACTTAGAATGATATATATGTGGGAATAGATTTCTGAATAGCTCTGTTTGCTTCCTCTTATCAACTTCAGATCATCATTCAGTATGAAAATTGATTGACAAAGAGAAAACAGGAGTTTCTTATATATACTTCCATCCATTTTCTACCAGTAGTTGATGATATGAAAGTTCATGATGAGTTCAACTATGAGACAAACTCGGGCAAAGTTTTTATTCATATTTACCAAGTGATATAGGTTATCATTAACAAGCAGAAGAAAATGATAACTCCTAACAAAATCTAAACCAGCCTACTGTATCTTCCAAGGACAAAAAAGCTTGAAATATGTTGATATGATATGCTTTCCTAGAAACTAAGTAAAATAAAGATTTAAGTATTTGCATCCAATTCTACTCTACCTTGTTTGATATGTACTCAAGAGCCATAAATCTATCTAATTTACGTGTTCTATGTGGTTACCCGATGTTGACAGACAACTTCAGCAGATAGTTTTTTGCTTAGATTTGGACATGGATCGCCTCCGAAGATGCTCGTTGGTACGGTTGCCAGGCATCTCTGTCGACCAACACATAGCTGGAAAAGACGGTATAAATTAGGAACTTAGTATTGTAGTTTGAAGTTTTGATCTTGTCGATTACAGATCAATCATCAAGACAATATTTGAAAAGGTTGGTTATATATTGATGTAAATTGAGATACCTTTTGCAACACAGATCGTGAATTTGGAAAATGACAGGTTCCTTGCTGAAGATTTCCACAAGCTCCACTTGGAGTTCCAAAGCTGACAAATTTGATAGCTGAAATGAACTGCCTAGCTGCACAATGCAGGTTGATCTTAACCACATTCTGCTCATTCAATCCTCCATGGTTCTGATGAGTGTTTTTGATGACAGGGCGATACTCAGATGCCTCGGTACAAATGCTTGTAATTGATCTCTTTACAAGAGTGATCCCTGAAGGATTCCCGCCCATCTCCTCAAAAACCACAATTAAATTTCTTGATGGCATCAACCAAGATCGAGGAACGTGGTACCTAAATGATTAACATATCAAATAAAACGCAGAATTTAGTGTTCGTCCTATGTCCAATGTTTAGCATCTGTAAATGGTAGATGTAAAGAACTTGCCATTGTTGAGTCGGATGACCACACCCAGATTGGCATTTGTTTGGGCGGTATGTACCCGAGTAGCTGCAATCAGTGCAGTTTCCATTGGCATGGACAGTCCAGTATCTTCCAATATTCTTCCCGTTTATCCATACTTGACCCTTCTGCATACTACTCATGTCTAAAGCCAAAGGTTCGTCTCCTTCGGGCACATTGAAATAAGCCTGCAAGTTGAAGCAAAATAGTGTCAACAATGGTTCTCGAATCTGAACGATGATGAGAGTTATAGACTCTGTAGAAGAATGAAGAATTCTAGTTCTTCAGAACCATTGCAGTCAAGCTTCAACCATGTACCTTATACCAAGTAAGCGGCTGTGTGTTTTCTTTTACCGATGAATCCCATACCCAATCAACTGCTGGAATAGAGCTTAGAGAACCCAAGTTCATGGCTTCTCCTTCCAGACCAACCTGTCAAACAGGAAAAACATAAGGAAACTAGTGGAGTGCATAGAAACACTGAGAAATGTGGTTGCATTTGCAGACCTTATATGACCATGTCTGTCTAGATAAGTCCATCGTTCCCTTGTCCAGCCCATGTATAGCAACTGGTCCAAGCACTCCCATTTCTCTCATCTCAAAATGAGGACCGTTGTTCTTCATCCACCAACAAGGAAAAGAACATCAAACAAAGATAAACCAGAGTTGTGACAAACTTCATTTAGATTAAGATTTTTCATTTTCGTGAGATTAGAGCCCTAAGTATAACATTCTTAGCAACCATGAGAAGAGAGTTGCATAAAGAAGATGGACTGTTTGTTTCAAGTCTGATTTCAGAATTCTGATCAGGTAATTTACTTCTAGGAATTGATTAGTGAATCATAGTTCATATGATCAGGGACTAGAAAACTAACTGGCAATCCAGCAGCCATGCTTAACAGAGAAACTCTGTTTACTCCAGCTTGCAACTGAATTCTTCCCGTGAACTTAAATTTACTGCTGTCATGGTTCCCGAAGCTCGATCCTGCGTTGAGGAAAGGTATTGCCTAATCAGAATCAGCTCGGCAGAAAGGCATACACAAAAGCATAGAAGTTGAGGTAAGAGATTCGATGATTCACCAGTTAGCTTTCCATTAATGAATACATGCATGCCATGACCAGTTGATCCCGCAACGAGAGTAGGAAGCCTCCCTCCACGCAGGAAGGATTCGTTTGAATCTACCTTGACACTGGAAAAATCCAGGTAATAAATATGTTTTCATTATGTAATCGTTCTCTATGTTATATATATAATCTAAGCACCATTTTTACCTGGTTGTATACCAAAGATAGTCGGTGGTGTCTCTAGTGATGTTTAGTTGCTCCAAAAGACCACCATATGACATCAATGGACCATCTTCAATCGAAGATATGTCTTCATTAAAAGTCTCCCACGAAAACGGTTCAACATTCGTCGGTGAAAATGACATCTGGTTTATTTGAACTTCAACCTGGAGCATGAAGAATTAGGATTTACCTTGGTATGTACAATAAGATTGCATTCCTGATTTGGAAGATAATCTGAGTGATATAAACCAAGGCATCAACATGCAATATAAACTTCAAGAAAGATATGAAAAAAATGAAGTTTGCATATTATGCTTCTTAAGCCATGAGTTTGTTCCTTTACATTTCTCATGTTTAGATTTACATGTTAGGATCATTCAAGTAGTCTTGACCAAACTATCTTATGGAGTGATTCGAATCATGAGTTTAGAAACAATTTTTCTTTACGCTTGATCTTGATCATCGAGGTAATCCGTTCCTAAACTTTCCTTAGTTGATTCCTTATCATTTTTTGAGTTCTTGGATAATTTAGATCTAATTTTCTTATTCTTCGACAAGATTATTAGATCAAATCCCAAAGGTTTCATAATACCGTGTTTACATGTTGGCTTCCCTTGAACAATAAGGAGGAGGCTGTTAAACTATGACTTCGTTTTACTTACTTGGGCAGTATTATATATGACACTCTTGCAACCAGGAAGAATACTAATTGACCAGGGTGGAAGAATGTAATTTCTGCCATTGAATGTCACCCTTGCAGATGAAGTCCAATGATAGTTCGATAGAAAAGCGGCGCAATCTCCTGAGCTAGAAGAGAATACCTTTGCCTGAAACATGTCAAGATTCAATCAATGGCATTACATAGATGAACTTGTTCATCTAGACCAACAATCTAAGCATAGAGAAAGACAGCAAACCTTTTGATAAGTTCCCAAGGTCATGTTAGAAGGTTCACCAGTAAGCAAAGCCTTTGCACATAACTTAACGGCGTCATGGAGTTGTTTTAAGTGACCGAACTTCGGTTGCCTGATCAAACCTATAATACAATCAAGGTGAATAACATCTCTACATTTTAGGAGGATGGAAAATTTCAGAAGATAACATCTGTATGTTGCTCACCATATTCATCAATGGGAGCATCATAGTCATAGCTAGTAGTAATGAAAGGACCCCCAGCAGTTCTTCCAAAGTTAGTTCCACCATGAAACTGGAAGGATCGTAGAACACATGAGAATTTTTTAATATGTAACGAATCAGAGCGACGACACGTGAGAACTCTATTGTAGTCCTAGACTATTGGTAGACAGAGATATATAGACAAGATAACTGAGCCATTCAGCAAAGAGACTTGAAGGCTAACCATATAATAATTGACGAAGGAGCCTCCTTTTTGGATGAACCTTGCAACTGCAAATGCCAAGTCTTCAACTGGGCGTTGATGAATTGGGCCACCAAACGTTGTAAACCTATATACAAAAGTAATGCAAAAACAAATAAACAAATAAATTTGGAGGCTGTTATGACAATTTTGATACTTTCTAAACTAGAAAATAGTATGTTCTTATGAAAGTTGAAAAAAATGACCAGAAACCAATTGAAAATTTGTAGTTGTCTTTAGTGTTCTTTCTTTGTTTGTTCTTACACATAATTGCTCATATATAATGTAGAGCATATGTAGCCATTAAATTTAAAGTACGGTTAAGTCTTTTGTAAAAAGTACCGTTAAAATTTAATAAAAATTTTTAGATATATGTAAATTGATTCATTGATGAAGGGCCACTTTTTTTTAAGACTAAATTGTTACGTAATAAACGATTTTGTTTACGATGAAATTTAACGACCAAATGGTTATAAACCAGAGCTCAAAGATTGTTATTTTTACGAAAATTTAAGGATGGAGTGTCGATTTTTAACCTAAAATCAAGTAACTTACCAAGCAGTCCATGCCTCGGTCCAAAAAGTGGGCTTGTAAGGCTTGTTTGGTGAGAAATAGTCACAATAGAATCCGTTGCATGTGTTTATCTTGACAAAATATTAAGAAACAATATGAACATCCCAAACATTAGAAGAAATGAAATCATAATGGAAATATTTGCAGAATGAAATTCTAACCATTGGATCAGGAGCATCATCTTCCTTGCACATCACCCAAGGCACCCCTGTATCTGTTTCAACTGCCATTTTTGCAGCCCAATTCATGTAAGCTGAGCCAGCAGCTCCAAACTCCTTGCCTTCTGTTTCATACTCATTCTCTATCTGCAAAAAGGTTCTTTCAAGCCCACAAAAATAACAAACCAAACCCGGTTCGAATCTTTAGAACTCGACGATACCGTCGTACAACTTATAGATCATATTTTATTCAAGTACAGTAGTGATTTCGTGTAACAACTCAAGTCCACCGTTAGTAGATATTGTTCATTTTAGCCCGTTGCGTATCGCCGTAAGTGTCAAGTCTTACTGAAGTGCATCTATTAGGGAGAGGTTCTACACCCTTATAAGAAATGTTTCAATCGTTGTGAGGTCTCACACTTCGTGTTCGATTATATGGAATGTTTCCATCTCTAACCAATGTAGGATCTCACATTTCGTGTTCGAAGTTTCGAGAGATAGAAAATGATTGAAATAAATTACCTGAGAAAGAATGATGGGACCTCCTTGTGACTGGAAAAGCTTTTCATCCTTCATCATTTGGACGATTTTTTGGGTGAATGTTGCCATTGCTAACTGCAGCATTTAGTAATAAAAAAACCCAATTTAATTACAATTTTTGTTCTCTTTTTGTGAAATTTTTTTTGTAATTTGTTTCTAAATACTTTAAGATGCTAATTTAAAAAAAGAAATTTTATTAGAATTTTAAAAAATTACTGTTCTAAGGACTAATAATAATAATAATAAAATGTTGAATTTTCGTTTAATATACCAAAATTAATTCATTAAAAAAAATTATCTTCACTTTTTATCGATTCAACAAGTATTTTCAAAGAGTAATTCCTTTTTATAGAATTCAGTGCTCCAAACCCATAGGAAATAATAAATAATTTGAATGTTCACTCAAACCTTGAATGGTTCATTGTCTGTTCTAAAGCTAATTCCAGGCACGAACTTCAACCAAACAGGAAATCCCCTGAAAAACAAGTCGATTTCACAGAAAAAGAAAAAAAAAACGTGAAAACAAATATCCATGAATGAATTTATAAGTTTATCCATTACCCGAAGTTCCATTCTCCACAAATGTAAGGCCCAATCCGAAGATGAACATAGAGCCCCGCCTTCTGCACCAATCTGACGAACTTAACCAAATCGTTCCTCCCCTGAAAATCATACTGAAAAACAGCCGAAAATCAAGCCGCCATTAAAGCCAGAAACACGAAGATTCAAAATCCAGAGAATTACCGTTCCAGGAGAAGGTTCATGGAGGTTCCAGAACACGTAAGTATCAACAACATCCAATCCTCCATCCTTGGCCTTCTCAATCAAGCCTTTCCACATCTGCATTTTCCAAAAATCAAATCCAAAAGTGAAACAGAATCGGAACAAATCGTAAGAGAAATTAGGGGAAAATCGAAAGAAACAAACGTCAGGCAGGCTTCTCGGGTAATGAATGGAGCCGGAAAACAGAATCCGCCGCTCGCCATTGATGAGCAGAGCCTTGCCGTCGTACGTCACATTGTTGCAGTTCGATAACTGAATGTACAGACACCAAACGAAGAAGACGACGACGACGACGCACTTCATTGTGTTTGACGAACGGAGGTTAGAGAGAGAAAGCAAGAGAGATAAAGAGCGAGGAAGTTAGAGTGGAGTGGAAAGAGCATTTCTGCTGGAGTTCGTTGCTGTTTATAAATAATTATTTTAACCAATTTTAATAAATTATAAAATATATATATATATATATATATATATATATATTATATAATTCTGATTATAAGTTAATATATTTTTAGTTAATCGTGATCTTTTAGTTAATATATTTTTTTATTATTATTGGCTATATTTTTATGAATATTGGTAAATTAGTTCGAAAATATTAGGAATAATAATTGAAATCTAAATTTGTTTGGATTATGTTAAAAAAAATTAAATTAAATATTTTAAATTGAATATATTTGATTTATTGAGATGAAAAATAATAATAATAATAAATATAGAGAATTTATGGGGTGAGAAGAAGTCATGTGATTGGCTCGTTATTTTCTCTCTCATAGTTAATTTATTTATATATATATATATTTAATTATTTTGAGATGTAATTTAGATTTTGTTTTATTTTACTTAATGCAATTTCAAATATTTAAAATTAGTTATGTGCTTTTTGTAAGGCTTAATAATATATGGGGTCACTCGGTTGCACGTCGTTTCTACTATAGTTGTGCCTTAATTACTGTAAGGTCACTCGTGCCCTAACGATATGAGTTTGCATGCAAAGCCACTCGTTGTGTGTGTATATGATGTGATTCTATTATGGACATGTCCTAGTGACGGTAATGTCACTCCACAGACATGAGATGATTCTATTAGATCATGTTCTAACAATATGAGTTTGCATGTGAGGGTACTCCTTGTATGTATGCAATATGAGATCCTGGGCGGTGTCCCGAGCAATAAAAATTATATAAGATAGTGTCACTCCCTTACTATTGAGGTTACTGGTCGGCTTTGTGAATCCAAATATTCAAATAAGCTCATTCTTATTACTATTTATGTTTGGGGTGATTCCTAACTTTGTATGGTTTATGGCAATGGCACAACAGAGTTCAAGACGTTCAGGGTTACAATCAACTAGAGACACATGAAAAGGGTTTGAGAAGACGGGTCGTTACCGTTATTATCAAAGAAATTCGTTTTCAATGGATTTTCCGTGCCCTAGAATTTGCTATAATTGTAAAGCACTTCTATACACGCTAGGATTGGCCATTACTTGACCGTCGTTTGCTTCTTAGCTTTTCATGTTATGTTCTAGGAGCTTGCTTTGTCAAGTTTAAGGACGTAGTTGGGTCGTTCTTTGTCTATAAACCTACCAGTTGAGTCATATAGACCGCTTTTTCTAGCTTTCTATTTAAGAAAGCATTATCCATAGAGATATTCATAGGTCGGGATGTAGGCAGGGAATACTATATTTAGTTAACAGGGAGAAATCTCTCTCCACTTCCTTCCACATTTCTTATTTATACGAGGATTTTTCATTGGGTTCTGAAGTTTTCGTAGTTTAAATGGACATCTCTAATTATTACGTTGTTACAAATTCAATGAGATTAAAATTTTATGGTAAAAATTGATGTAACTAAAAAATTACCATTTTTAATTTATTAAAATGCTAAGCTTGTCACTTTCGAAGTCCTACTAATTGGGCCCAAGCCCAAAATTGAATCTAGAAGGCCCATAATGCCTCGTAAACTAAATATTATAATTAGAAAACCGTGATGTGCTTATTAATGAATAAATATTTTTTTTTAATTTATAATCTATTTTTGAAAAATGCATTGAAAATTAAACAAAATACTTTTAATTATGAAGTTAAATATCATGATATATTTAAATAAAAGGTTTAGTTAAACATTTAATACTCTAAAAGTCATTTCAAACCCCTTCTAACATTGATTTTTAAATAATTTATTTTTATTCTTATTATTATTATTATTATTTAATTATATCCTAGGTTTAGGGTTATGGATGAGATTTGGAGCCTACCCAAGAGTCGTGTCGGGCGAGCAACCAATCAATCCCGAGTGAGATATATGTGCACGTTGAGCTAAGTTCCAGCACTCCTCTCCTTTACAAATGGGAACTACAAGGTCGAGGTCGAGAGCTTGACTTGATATCACACCCTTCTCAAAAGAACCGCACATGACACTCTCTCTACATACGACTCTGTCCTGACATCAGGATCTCTCATTTTCTTTGACCAACAGGTCCTCTAACCAACCTATACTCCCTTTCCATGTTCGATAAGTGTTTTCTTTTTATTTATTGATTAATTTAAGTTAGCCGTTGAAATTGATTAATTTGGATAATTGACATAAATTAAAAATGAATAAATAAATATGGATTTTAAAAATCTTCATCACGCGCTTAAAAATTATTAATTTAAAATTTAAAATTCCCACGTGGCAGTTCAACTTGTTCAGTTCGCCGTGCAGATGAAGCAAGAAAAAAAAAACAACCCAAAGAAGGTGGGGCCCACGGTCGTGATAGTGGGGCCCATAGTTGACGTCATTTAAAAAGCAGCCTTTTTATTATTTTCTTATTTTTTTAGATTGGGAGTGGGTTTTTGATGCCCCCATGATATCTAATCCATTGGCTCGTGGACCCCACGGACCACTATATAATCAAATTATTCCTTTATATATAAATCGAAAAAATAAAAAATAAATTGCAATATACCCAGTCCTTAATCACGACCGTCCACGTGGCGTAATAACTATATTTCTATTTATTTTATTAATTTATTATTGTTTTTCATCTTTTTTAGGAACTTAAATTTCAATTATGAAAAATGAATAAATTGGGTCAGGTAATGATTTAATAACATAGGTTACTGTGACAGACGACCAAGGGCTTTCCACGTGGCGGGAAATGATTTGCTGTTGAGTTTTATGAAAGAGACCCGCGGCACAGTTGTTTGAAAAAAATGTAAAGGTAAAATTGGGAACAGTTCATCCTGGTCGGATTTAATTACTTTTTTACTATTAAAAAAATACTGTTCTGAATTACCTTTGTACTGAACTGAATAATTAATTTTTAACCCAAATAAATGCTGAAATTAATACCTCCAATTAAAGTCATATGAGCAAATATTATTTTTTAAGATTGAGTTATATTTATTAATAATAGCCTTAATTTTTTTAAAAAATAGTTACGTTAACAAATTATTAATACTTTATTTAAAAAATACTCTTAAAAGTTTATTATGTTTAAAAAAAATATCAATGAAATTTTAAAAGTAGCATTAAAACATTGTATCTTTATAAAAAAAAATTCAAAAAAATTATTATCGTTAATATATGGACAAAAAATGTTTATCGACATGTTATACATTATCTCCAAACTTTTTAATGTTACTTTTTAAGAAGTGGTACTAAAAGTAGGTGTATTTTTTAATTAAATTTTTTTTTAAAGTGTTTTTGAAGTTTTTAAAAAAAATTTAAGAATATTAATAAAACTTTTGAAAGGTTCCTGTTTTAGTAACAGTTATTTTATAAAATAAAAAAAATGGGAATGATCATGAGTTTATAATCAAATAATACTTCCTCCATTGGATTGAGGTCTTTTCAGAAGTCTAGAACAAAGTCATGAGAGTCTATACTAAAAGTAAATAATATCATACCATTGTGAAGAGTAGTGTTATCTAACTTGATCAATAGAATCCTCAAATATCGAACAAATGACTCCAAAAGAAAGAGGAGGCGAGCCTCCCGCCTATAAGACGTAGTAAAAAATAACTAAAACTCCAAAAAAAAAAGGAGTCGAGCCTCCTAGAATGAAATACTATCTCCATTGAATTGAAACGTTTTGGTAAGCCCAGAGCAAAACCATCACAGTGTAAAAATGTTGCCTTTTACAATTATAAGACTGACATACTTAACAAACCAAAGTCAACAATATCAGTTACTTGTGGACTTTGGCTATTCCAGTTCAAGTTCGTATATTTTTTTAGACAAATTGTAAAGCTAAGGGTATTTTAATTAATTTAACCGATTACAATTATCTTTAATTATCTTATAAAAATAATTAGAATATCTATATATATTATTTTTATTTATTGATTAAAAAAAAAAGGAGTGAGAGGGAATGATAAAAGGAAAGGAGGGATCATCAAAGTACACAAATCAACCCAAAGTGTCCGATCAGAACGATTCGCTGTTACCTGTCAGACTAATAAAATAAAAAAGCGAATCTTAGTAATATTTTTTTATTATTATTCTTTTTTTATATAATTTAATCCACGACACTCATAATGACGTACAAACTTATTTCCTCCACGCGCTTTCTTCGCGACTTAATTCCACGCTCCAATCACAGCCCTCTATTTCATATCTAAGGCTGGGATTATTTTTTGTTTTTTTTCTTTTCGCGAATCCCTACGTTACGTTACCGTGTCTGTCAAAGGTTCTGTTCTGGTACCTGAGAACGGCAGCTGCACGGGCAGCGGCTGTGCTCTGCCCCCTTACTCTGTTCGCTGCCCCGAGCAGCTTTCTTCATATTCCCTTTTTGCCCTTCCATTTACCTCTTTATTACCACTGTCTTTGCGTGTTCATTGGCTGATAATTAGGACGTTTCTGACATTTTGCATTTACAGTTCCCTCAGTTTTCCTTCTCTCTTCAAAATTATTTAAAATTTACATTTTTTTTTAAGAATATTTAAGGTTCGTAACTGATGAGGTTGATATTTAAATTTTATAAGATTTTAATTATTAATGTAACATGTATTGTAATTAAGTATAATTTTTTTTAATAATTAAAAGAGCACCCGACAATCCAGCCTGACCCGCAAATAGAGAGCTCGATTGGACTGGTTTTTTCGACTTGACCCGACCCGACCCGACCCTTCCAAGGTTTATAAAAGGAATGCTATAATGCAACTATGCAAGTCAAACCCACCATCCCTTATTGCAAAAGGGACCCCTCCCCTTGAAAGGACTATCAAAGAAAGATTTGAAAGAGGCTCTTCATACAAAGTTGCATTCCTTTGAAGAAAAAGATTGTAAAACCCTCTTTTGCAAAAGTTGCCTTCTTTCGAGTTGATAACGAATGGCTAACTACAAACACTACGAGATCGATCGG